GATTTCCTGGAGGAATGCGTTTTTTGTGGACTTTTATGGACCTTTCTGCCTCGGGCGCCATAGACCTCCATTATTTGAATGTCAGCAGACAGCAAGAAGCCTCCCAGATCTCCAGAGGCATTTGAGATATCAAAAAAGTACTCCAGAGTGTTGTTCAGCATGGGGGTGAGTAGAAAATGAAGGCTAATCATGTTTTGGGTGTACTATTCCTTTAACTAGAATTTTAGATATTTTCCTCTAATAAATTTGTTTTTTAATCAGACAGTTGTCTACCAAATAAGAACAGTCCATTATCAATAACAACATGGAAATCTGCCTTTTGAGGAACAACTATATTTGGGCATTTGAACAAACACACTTAGCTGGAGTAGAAAAATAGAAAAAAAAAGTTAGGATTTAAACCTAAGATGGCCATGTCATGGTCAAATATCATATATTTAGTGTCTGCTCATCATCACTGAAGTCTATAATAATCAGGTTGATGATTTACCAAACTGCTCTCTTAAGGATCTCCTGAACATTATGAACAAGGTCACTCTTTGGACCTGAGGCCTAAACATTCTGGTTTAAGACTATCTAGGCTCATTTGGATGTAAAACAAACTACTCCTGGAAAGGCTAGCTTTCAGGATTGATCTGAATACTAGAAATGGCTCCACCCAACAGCCAATCATGTGTTCAAGAAAAATTTTTGCTCAAAAATTGGGTGGGGGTCTGGGACATTGCATGGGGTTTGGCCCCATCTATGCGGGCGTCCGGCTGGCTGTCCTGGCTGTACAGCAGGTGGGATACAGTCACTATGACCAAATGCATCTTAGACTGTAGTGTTGATCAGCCTTGCTACCTTGTTCTGACTATGCCTACAATCGGGTGGCAGGACGCAGGGGGATGTCTGTCACCTGAGCTTGGGTGGCTTCCGTGCCATTCTTTACCTAGTGGGTTGGACGATGTGGGTTGTGACTGCCATGGATATGACAGGACCATATGGATGTTGGAGTATGGAATTGCTGTGATGAGTTGGGTTGGGGGGGGGTTGGGGCGGTTGTTCCTCCTGGGTGGACCTAGGGTTGTGTGTGGTCCTGGGCTGCACTTCTGCTCTCTTGGATTAGGGTTAGGTTATGTATGTATATATATATATATATATATATATA